ATAATAACTAGTTTAAATGAATTTTACACCACTTTTTAGTTGACAATAGTGTCAGCATCATAAAAAGTATTATTATCTGGCAGCCGACATTTTTATAAATTCATTTTGTTTTCATATCTGAAAAATATCTGATTGTTGTTCAAATATTTGTCAGGCCTACCTAAGCTACAACACTGCCTTATCTGTTTTTGTTTTTCTCCATCAGTCAGGGCTGGTTCCCTGCTGCATATGTGGCTCCTAATGAAGATTTCTCCAACACCTTAGCGATCAGGTATGATGATTAGATGACAGGGAGAAATAATTTTCCTCATTCCTCATTATTATTGTTATGATTCTGTCACTGTCTGCCCAGATCTTGCCCCAGTTTATTTTTATTATTTTATTTCTTGTTCCAGTTCATCCTCATAGTCTTGTTCCCAGCCTTTCAGTTCACATCCAGCTCCTGCTCATTGCTCTCACCCCTCCCGTCATGTAAAACTCTAACCAAGCTCATTTCACTCACCTGTCTCCAGCAGTATATAACCCATCTCCAGCTCTTTGCCAGATTATCATCAGCCTCGCCTATGATCTTCTAGTGTTCTTGTCCCTTGTCCTGCTCTTGCCTCATGTCCCTGACCTTGCTCATGTCTCCTGGTTTAACGTCTCCTGCCTCAGCCCCAGTCGGATCCCGCCTGCCATCTGCTCTCACGGTAACAACCTTTTTTCTGTCTCTTGGATTATTGTCTCTCGCCTGCTCCCTGAACGGAACCGCGCCACATCGGACCTCCTGGATCTCGACCCCTGAACGCATCTCTGGACCAACGACTCAGTCATCTCCTGCTAACCTGGTAACGTCCTCTGATCACCTGTGGATGATCCTTGCCCGGTTTCTGACCATGAGTAAGTCCAGCAATCCATTCACTCCCCGTGACAACACAGCCCGGAACCAAAACACATCAGCTGTTGTTTCAACCTGGATCTCAACTCAGCAGGAAAGAAGTGGCGAACCCGGAGCCCGGTCCCAACCTTCCAGCCAAATTTTCTAACAATAAACTTGTTAAAACTTTGACGTTMTTCGGTGTTTACTCAGAGCTCAAAATACAAACCTTAACAGATAATCTGGCCACTATGAGCTCTGAACCGCACACAGCCTGGAAGGCAAATATCGAGGGAGCTTTAAATTATCTGGATAAATGTATTCATAACATTAACACAACTTTAAGTAATTTATCATTGTCTTGTAATGTTACGGCTCCCACTGCTGGAGGACAAYCAGCTTCACCTAATGTTTCAATACCTCAGCCTTCCTCATGTATGGAGCCCCGTTTGTACCCACCCGAGAAATTCAAAGGTGACTCCGATCAGGGCCGGGCTTTTCTCACTCAATGTGAGAAACAGTTTGAGTTACAACCTTCATCATTCACTTCTGAACGCTCCAAGGTCGCTCATGTTATTTCACTTTTTCTGGTAAAGCCAAGTTGTGGGGAACTGCTGAGTGGCAAAGAGACACTCTTATTTGTTACAAGTACAACGATTTTGCTAAAGAGTTACTCAGAGTTTTTTTGTCCAGTTCTTCCACATCGAGAAGCGTCCAGAGGCCTGCTAACTCTCAAACAGGGGAACAAGAGGAAGACAGAGCTTATTATTGATTTTCACACCCTAGTAGTAGACAGCTGGTGGGATGATGAGGCTCTGCAGGATGCTTTTATGCAGGCATAGAACGAGGACATCAAGGACGAACTGGCGGCTCGTGATCCACCCCAGTCCTTACAGGAGTTGGAGGACCTGGCGACACACATTGACTTAAGGCTGCATGAGCGAAGACAAAACCGACGAGGTAAAAACTTTTCTGGTACTCATTTGTTACCTTCCAGAAACACTGACACAGGTCAGAGGAAGCCAGGCCGTTACCCCCCCAATTGTACAAGCCACTGTGGAACCCATGCAGATCGGCAGGTCAAAGATTTATTTGGAGGAGAGGACCCGTCGTAGGAACAAAGGTCTGTGTTTATACTGTGCTAGTGTTGGTCACATTGCCATTAACTGCCCWGCTAAAGGTAAGAGAACCAGGACTCCTGTCCTTAGTCCTGCCCATGTGAGCCATTCCCTTCCTGTATTGTCAGCAGATTTAAATGTGTCAGGTAAAAATCATGCTGTTAAAGTATTCATTGACTCTGGAGCTGATACCACATTTATTGATCACAAGTTTGCTCTTTCTCTGGGACTACAGATTTGTCATTCTGAGAGAAACCATAATATTCAGGCTCTGGACAGTCACAACCTCAACCACACCAGTTCTGAGACTATGCCCGTGAAAATGACCATTGGAGGAAATCACACTGAGGAAATAAACTTTCTGGTAATCACTTCGCCCAACCTTCCCTTCATCCTTGGAGCCACCTGGTTGGAGAAACGCAACCCCACATAAACTGGATCAACAAGGAAATTATGGGTTGGTCAGAACAATGCTCATCCAAATGTCGTTCCGCAGCTAATCTTGAGAAGGAAACTTGTAATGAGGCCAAGTTCATCCCTAAACTGCAAAATAGCCCTGCTTGTTATCATGATTTGAAGGAAGTGCTTAATAAAGAGAAAACTACTTGTTTACCGCCACATAGACCATAAGATTGTTGTATTGATCTACTACCTGGTACCACACCACCTAGGGGCAAATTGTACTCTTTATCCAAACCTGAAAACGAGGCCATGAAGGAGTACATATCTGAGTCCTTAAAACAGGTACTATCTGCCCATCCTCCTCCCCTGCTGGAGCTGCTTTTTTTTGTAGGGAAGAAGGATGGATCTCTTCGACCTTGTATAGATTATAGAGGGTTGAACGATATAACTGTTAAAAACCGGTACCCTCTACCATTAATGAATGCTGCTTTTGATTTGATTCAAGGGGTTAAAATCTTCACAAAGCTTGATCTTCGCAATACTTACCATTTGGTGAGAATAAAGGAAGGAGATGAATGGAAGACGGCCTTTAACACCCCTTCAGGACATTTTGAATATCTAGTCATGTCCTTTGGGTTAATCAATGCCCCTGCCGTGTTTCAAAATATGGTTAACAATGTTCTGAGTGACTTCATCAATGTTAATGTTTTCATCTACCTGGATGACATTCTAATCTTTTCTAAGGATCTTGAGTCACACCAGGAACTGGTCCGAGCCATCCTYCTACGACATCTTCAGAACAAGCTGTATGTCAAAGCAGAAAAATGTGAGTTTCACACAACTGACACTACCTTCTTGTGATTTAAGATAACTCCAGATCAAATCTCCATGGATCCAGCCAAGGTCACAGCAGTCCAAGATTGGAACACACCCCAGACCTGTAAACAACTACAGCACTTTCTAGGTTTTGCAAACTTTTACAGACGCTTCATCAAAAACTACAGTTCAATAGCAGCTCCACTCAATAAGTTAACTTCAATCAAAACCAAGTTCTTGTGGAATCCAGAAGCTGAAGAGGCATTCAAACGTCTAAAGACAATGTTCACCACAGCCCCGATCCTTCACTTTCCTGATACAGAAAGACAGTTTATTGTGGAAGTTGATACTTTTAATTCTGGAGTCGGGGCCACCCTTAGCCAGAGATTCACCGATAACAGAGTTCACCTGTGTGCTTTCTTTTCTAGGTCTCTCTCTCCTGCAGAACGGAATTATGATGTGGGCGATCGGGAACTGTTGGCAGTGAAGCTGGCATTGGAGGAGTGGAGGCACTGGTTGGAGGGTGCTTTCCTGCCCTTTCTTGTCTTGAGTGATCACAAGAACCTTGAGTATCTTAAGTCAGCTAAAAGATTAAATCCTCGACAGGCCAGATGGGCTCTGTTTTTCAGTCGATTCAACTTTGTTTTATCCTACAGACCCGGGACCAAAAACACTAAACCGGATGCCCTGTCGAGAGTTCATGAGTCTGACACAACCAGAGACCGTGGGTACCAGCTCGCCATGTCCTTGATAAAGCCCTTATCAGGGACTTCCATAGAAGCAACCCCAGTCAGCCAGTGCCAGCTAGAGGTCCGTCAGGAGCCGGACCTTGAGGGGTGGTTCTGTTATGATTCTGTCACTGTCTGCCCAGATCTTGGCCCGGTTTAGTTTTATAATTGTATTTCTTGTTCCAGTTCATCCTCATAGTCTTGCTCCCAGCCTTTCAGTTCACATCCAGCTCCTGCTCATTGCTCTCACCCCTCCCGTCATTGAAACTCTAATCAAGCTCATTTCACTCACCTGTCTCCAGCAGTATTTAACCCAGTCTCACTCTCCAGCTCTTTGCCAGATTATCATCAGCCTTGCCTATGATCTTCCAGCGTTCTTGTCCCTTGTCCTGCTCTTGCCTCATGTCCCTGACCTTGCTCATGTCTCCTGGTTTAACGTCTCCTGCCTCAGCCCCAGTCGGATCCCGCCTGCCATCTGCTGTCACGGTAACGACCTTTTTTCTGTCTCTCGGATTATTGTCTCTCGCCTGCTCCCTGAACGGAACCGCGCCACATCGGACCTCCTGGATCTCGACCCCTGAACGRATCTCTGGACCAACGACTCAGTCATCTCCTGCTAACCTGGTAACGTCCTCTGATCACCTGTGCATGACCCTTGCCCCGTTTCTGACCACGAGTAAGTCCAGCAATCCATTCGCTCCCCGTGACAACACAGCCCGGAACCAAAACACATCAGCTGTTGTTTCATCCCGGATCTCAACTCAGCAGGAAAGAAGTGGCGAACCCGGAGCCCGGTCCCAACCTTCCAGCCAACTTTTCTAACAATAAACTTGTTAAAACTTTGACGTTTTTCGGTGTTTACTCAGAGCTCAAAATACAAACCTTAACAGTTATCTCATAATTAATAAAAATAGTTCAATTATTTCTCAGCAAGTAAATGATAAGTGTTTGAAGGAAAAAGTCTGATGTTAAAAATGTTTCAGCTCCTTGTTACTGGCTTATATATGATTCTTTGACCTTCACAGCACTGGTTCTCTAAAAAGCCACAGTATGAACAATCTGCAGCACACTGACACTTACGCCAAACAATCTGAGGGCAAGAGTTATGGCGATATCCCTCCCCCGGTCACACCCACCCGTAGAGCGTCTGTAGACGTCCGGCTGATCTCTTCGGTCCCTGCGAAGATGGCAGAACCAGAAACAATATCTGCACCCCCTCCTCCACCATCCTCACAAAGTCTGAATCCCAGAAGGGGCTCCGCAGATTTTCGATCGACCTCTCTACACCCTGATAGGAAGAGTGACGGACCTTCTGATGTCCAGGTACTTWACTTTTAATTCTGATGTTGTTTTACACAAACACATTTGAGTACTTTAATTCTATTTGCTGACTAATCTCTCCTTTCTAGACGTTATCACCACCTGGACCTGAAAACCCTCTGTTTCCCAGGTATTATTTTATGTTGTTGAAAAACAGCAAAACCAAAGTTTGTGTCTTCCAGATTTTGTGTGAGCAAAATATCAGAATGTTATTGAAATCTTATCACAACATATTTTGAGATAATTATGTATTCTARAAACAGTTTTTTTCTAAACTTATGTGTCATCAGGTATAATAACTATAGTAAAGGTTTTATTCTGCTATTTAGTTTTTACTGGATGTTTTAGTACAATTACACAGACATCTACCATAGTAAAAATACAATTTGGTATTATCAGGTGCATAGGTTTTAAGAACTGAACTCCACTGAGCTCTAATTGTRACTGCAACTTTTCAAAACAGTAAACAGTTTGAGTTGTAGAAAATTGATCCGTGAAGCATGTTGCACACCCAAAAGTGAAAATTTAGCCTCGTCAATGGGGTGAGCGTGGTGTCGGTTTCCCAACCCGGATCAGGTGAGTGTGTTTTGGTGAACGCAGCTAAGCGTGTGCAGTATTGTGTAACATTTTCCACCACGCTCTCATTTCAGAGGTACAAACCCGTTCGCCACAGTGAAGCTTCGCCCCACGACGACGAACGACAGATCAGCTCCTCAGATCCACTGATCAGTCAGCGCTGATGGAGGTGGAGTTTGAGCTGTGACATCAGCACACGGAGGCAGGAGACACAAGTTCTTACATCACTGATATATAAATGCTTGAAGGACAGAAAAATGAGAGTTAACATGAGGTACTTTGTTTATCATAAGGGAACTTTATTATAGTTAATTAATTCAAACCACAAAGTGGAACGTTTGTTTTAAAATACTTTGTGCAGCTGGTATGTTGTTTTGTGTTTGCTGTGGTGAGACTATAGAAGGAACAATGTTAGAAAAATGTTGTTTTATTTGTTTTAATTATATGTTGACTTGTTGTTTCCCCTTTTGTATTCTCTGCTAAGCTGTGTGGCTTCATCACGAGCTTACTGTATGTCTGAAATTTGTGGTAACTTTGTTTAATGATGGACAAAGAAAAAGCAAATGTTTGCAAAATTTGCTCTCATTTGATAGTCCTTTTTTTGTTTGTTTTACTCTTGTACATTTCGTGAATTTGATTTGTGATCACGAGTAAAAACAACTTAACACACACTATTTCAAAATGTTTTTTTATTGTTGTTTCTTACTGATGTCGTTTCTCTTCACAGCTCTCCTTAGAAAGGATTTTTTTTCACTACATCACGTGGTCAGAGGCAGAGAGTGAGGAGGAGGAGGAGGAAGAAGAAGGGATAGAGGTGAATTAAGGTTAGAGAGGTTGGAAGAAGAGAGGGAAGAAACTAAACTGATATGTGAGCATCCAAAGAAATAATAAAAAAGAAAACTAGTTGAGGCAAAATGCACAAATGAATGTATGAAAAAACTGAGATTGAAGGAGTTTTGAACATCTACACCATTCACAGCACTACAATCCCCTGTTTTCAGACTAGACCACAAACTTTCCTGAAATCCATACAGCATTTGTGGGTAAATATATAAAAAAATGAAAACTTATAAATGAAACTGATACCCTAAGCCTATTTTTCTGTGCTTCCTCTCATGGTGACTCCTCACTGGCTTTTTTTTTTTGTTAGTGTTTAATGTGGAGCTGATGTGCTCTGCATGTTTGAGGTCTGCAGGGAGAACAGAAGAGCTTGAAGGTTTCAGTTACAAAATATAAATGTGGGGATGATGATGATGAGGAGGAGGAAGGGGATTCAGACACCCCCTACTCATGCACCAAGGCCTCAAACTCTGAAAATACAAAGAAAGGTTAAAAAAAATCAGGAGGGTCAAATTACTAAATATTTCATCAACACCAAAACAAAACACTGCATCCAGTCTAACACAAAACAGTTGCCAATAAGACATATATTTTTAGTTTTAATTAAACAAAGAAAAAGTTTCTGTCCAATGGTGGTATATGTGATTGTCTCAAACTTAACAATATTCACATTGCAACAAGAGGTTAGTGTTTCTTTTTCAAATMTCAACTATATTTCTCCCATCTCTCACCGTCAATGCCGATCTTGCCATCTCCATCTTTGTCAGCAGCTTGGAGGAATGCTTTTGTCTCTGCATCAGTCAGATCCCTGCCATCTTTAGAAAAGCCCTTCAGTACGAACCTGCAAACAGTCGAGGTTGTTGCAGAAACCTGCATTACACACATTCAAGGTGCCGGGGGCAACGCTCTGTGTTTTTTGCCTTGTTTGACTTTCTTACTTGAGCTCCTCCTCCTCTATAAACCCGCTACCATCCACATCCAGAACCTGGAAGACCTTCTTGACGTTTTCAGCTGACATGGCCTTCATTCCCACCATTTCAAAGAATTTCTTAGGTTCAAAGGTTGTTCCTACAAAAAAAAAAAAATAAATAAAAAAGTGAAAGTAGAAGTCTGAAGCACCTGAAGGCTCAAGGGCAATAATTGTGTTCTTTTTTAGTTACATGCACCGATTAATACAGGTTTTTTTTCCAAACCTTAAAATTTTAAAACTGTTTCAGTATCGCAGGCAAATGTCATGCACTTTGATTTGTTGCTGTTTTCTGCTGAGAGCAACCTTTTGACCTGGAGAAAAAAATCAAATGGTTACAGACCTACAAAGGCATCAAGACCTTTCTTGATCTCCTCAGCTTTTAACAGATCTGTCATTACCATTCTGCCAGCTGTAGAGAAAAAAACAAAGAACATACAAGGTGCAATGTCAGAAAACGTTTTAAAACGTAAACACCACCAGAGGTGAAGACACTCAAAGGGGCAATTGGATAGAAACAATTGCAAAAATTTAACCTCTTTGAACCAAGTCCCTGTAAAAAGGTGGCAAGTTAAAAAAACATTGAACATGTTTAATAAATGCATTTATTACAGATAAAGTATGTTGATAAAACTGACAAGTTTAAAACAAGTAAAATTCAAACCCTGAAGAGACTTCGAGCAGAAATGAACATTTATACAAATACTGTACAATTGGAGAATTGCACCATTCCAGCTATGCACATTAAATYTATTAATCACTCTAACACATATAAGTAAAGCATGTTGTTGAGGGAATAAATCAAGGAAAAGCTTGCATTAAAATGTAGCTTGAGTTCTTGTGCACTAACCTATACCTGTCACAAGGTGTCACAAATGAARTGGTTTCTTTTTTTTTAATCAACTTTGAAAAATTTGTAACAACTGTTGGCAAGAAACATCTCGTGAACTTGTTAAGCGAGTGGCTGTGAGAGCAGTATGTCTGTGTGTCACACTGAGTCCTGAAGAGGACGCCTGACACCTGCAGAGTCCTGTCAATCCTCTGTAGGATCATTTCAGTGGTGTGGTCTGCATGTTGCACTATCTCGGGTCCAACAAAACGTTTCCCCTCCCTGCCCAAAGGACAGAGCGACAGAATAAGAACAGAAGTCTGCAGTCATCCTGTTTCTCTCAGCCCATTCTACTTTTTCTCAACTCTCTTGACACCATCATGTATCGGATGTTTGGCACCAAAAGCCAATTAGTTCCTTTTACGATATCTAGAGATACGCTGTTTTTTTTTTTCACCCCCTCCAGCTATTAGGTAGTGTTTTGAAAATAGAAAAGCATCAGATTAAGATGTCTTGCTTCATCAAGTTCAACATTTTTTTACTTCTTTTTTTATTTTCACTTGCATCCTGTCAGATTTTGCATCTTCTGCAGGTTCTGCAGGARGTGTCTTGCCATACTTCAGTTAAATTACAGCATTCCTCGAAAGCTGTGACAATGGGAACAATAACACAGTGAGGGGGATTTTTAAATCCAGTAAAGTGTATTGTATACAATGTCTGAATACAAACTTTAAGACATGTAAGTGTTTGCAATTTTTGTAATTATAGATACTATTTCGATTAGTTCAATTTAAAAGAAACATTTTTTGAAAAAAATCAAATCAAATAAAAACACCAATTGGGAGATGTTGCAATCCCCCGGCATTCCTTTAGGGGGACTCCCCCTGCAGTTTGAAAACTACTGCTTTATATTACAACAGACCAAACCTGGCTGTGTGTAGTGTGTTATTTTAGCTATCTATAGCATTTAACAATGAAGGCAGCTGATTTTTTAATAGCCCTGTAATAGAAACTAACTCATTTCTAATACAGCTTGATCTTATTTGTAATTAAAATAAGGTTTAAGCAATTCACAGTGTGCTTGCATTCAGTTTTTATGTACACTTCAAGCAAGCCAGCTATTTTAAAGGCAGTGTTTTTCAGCACTGCATATTTTCACCTTACCTTCCACTTAAAGTGGTTTTGATGTTAAAAAATGCCTTGTAGTGAGAAGGCCAAAGCCGTCACTTTTACKTTCACTAAAGCTTAAATGTCCCAAAGATAAATGACTCTGCAATTTATCCTGCAGCCTTATAATAAATCAGTGACTTTGTTTTAGCATCAAAACATGTCAATTTATCAAATGTTCACTGTAGATTGAAAGGCAATAATGGCCTTTATGTGTACTATAAATAAACCATTGATGTCAAAACCTGTTTTCTCTGAAAATACACTTATATTGTATTAAAAAATCCTGTTTTATTCTGGAGGAGGCAGAGATGGACAATTCATAAAGCACTTAACAATTGAAAAAAAAATCAAGGTGTTAAAAAGTCCTAAAGTACACATATTTGAAGAACTGGAAAAAAATAAAATAAATTCATCTCCTTCAATTAGTCAGTGTAATTTTAAAGTCAAAGTATGGCTGTTTAATGCGTGTAGTGGTAATGTGTAATGGTAGAAGGTCTGAYTAAATAATAATAGAACTGATGTATTACAAGTCAGGGCTACTGTGCATCGACTCTGTGCATAAACACCTGTTATTGGTGACACTTGAGCTAAGACCTATTTGACACCCTCTGCAGATAGAAAACAATGACGGGGAGTAAAAACATTGAGAAGTGGATATTTATAAATGGGATACTAACTAAACTGAGAAAAACAATCTCATTTAGACAGCCAGACTTTAAAAAGGCGTATTGACTTGTCAGAAACATATTTGGCCTTTTGCATTGATGCGTCTGTAGGTGGTTAATTTTGATGCTGCACTTACATGTGTTGCCTAAAACTAAAATTTTAAAACAGTTTTGGTCAATTGTTTCAAAGACAGGCTGCATTTAATGCAACCCTTTTTCTTTCTTTTATTTTCAGCCTTGCACATTATAAGTCAGTGAAGATTATATTTCTGCATTTGTAGCACAGCATTCAGCCAGGGCTTTAAACAAATGCGCTGCTGCTTTACACTCAACAAAATGATCTATCACTGGCTGTCACTTTAACTTTATTATTCTTACAACTAGGAATGCCATCTAATTCATTTGCAGCATACCGGCTTGTCACGGTTCATTCAAGTGATCGTTATTGTTCAATTTTCTGTTCGCAACGACCCCGAACCATAACTTACCAATCTCTMCTTTCTATTCGTGTGCTTACTTCCTACCATCCGTTCTCCGCTGCATCATTTGATATTGTTCTCTTACCTGAAAGGATGGGTGGATTACTGCAGAGGAAAGGAAAGAAAGGAGGCGAGGATGAAGGTGATGGAGGGAGACCGGAGAAGACAGAAGGTCTGAAGACTGAAGTAAGATGAGCAGGTTAAGGTAGGGGGGCGAGGACACAATAAGACTTTTATAGCTGCCTCCAAACACATCACTTGTCTCTCGTACCCCCCCCACCCCCAACCCCACCCGTGCACCAACCTCATCCCCACCTCTCTATTTTGAGAAGACGGGTTTGTCAAGTTGTGACGCATACACAGTTGGCCTAATAATAATAAAACTCTTTATCAGACGTCCTTTGGAGCTCACCTCCACCAGGGACTCCTCTCTTTGCTCTGTTGGACACATCTGTCCTTTTTGCTTTCACCTCATTCTGGAGGTATGAGACTTAGTGGGAATTATCATTGCTGCTATTTTATGGCATTTAAAATACTGAACTTCAAGGGGTATTTTTTTCTTCTAAAAGTTAGATTTCATCAGTCTTTGAGTACAAACCATCTGAGAGAAGAAGACAAGAACAACTTAGTTTACAAAGTGGTCTAAGGGAATCAAAGTATTCTTTGAAATAAAGTTTTAGGAATATTTTCAGTGTATATGCTTTCAAATCAGCGAATAACAGGAGAACCTCCTGAATTACAGAACAGCTAGAGCATTGTCATTTTGTCACCCTAAACTTTTACTTAAGATAGACTTAGAAATATGTTGCTGTCTCCAAACTTTTACTGAAACAGAATGTTTCACACCACACCGCTTCTAACTTTAAATTGTTTTATGTTTTAGATTCACTTTTATTTTGTTTTCTGGTTGCTCCCTTCAGCAGGAGTTACCACAGTGGGCCAATTTACATTAAAGGTTTTGGCTACCCTTTTACCTAAAGCAACCTGCGCTCTAACCTGCAGTATAAGACTACAGTATGTGTTATATATTTTATTTACTGTTTTGTTTAAACTTCAAGTTTTTGGTTAATAAATTAGTTTAGCGTTAGCTCTTTTTTTCTTGGCTTTGTTAGCGTTGTGAATATTATAATTTATTCTGTTAAAAAGGTGGTTTATTTGACTCCACTGTTACAGTTTGATTCAGTATTTGACTTCTTGGATTTTTGATGAACACCTCTGAAACATTTTATCTTTTTGACTTGTGTTGAATCAATAGGGTCTTCTTACTTGTTTTTTTTCAGACTTAAAACCTGGTTGATGACTATTTTGGGTTTTATTTTTTACTACAGCAGTGCTTTTCAACCCTGGTCCTCAAGGTACACTTCCTGCATGTCCCTGCTTCAACACAGCTGATTTCAATTGATTGATTTGATTTATTGATTTAACAGGAAAAGATTACTAAAAATCAAGCCTGACTCAGCATAATTGCTGTTTTACAGCAGGTTCCTGCTCTGCAGCACATAAAACACTCAGAATTACAGCATCACAATCACATCATTATACACCATAGACACAAACACAAACAAGTATACCAAATTTCAGGAAGGCAGCATTTGCAAAATAGGATGTCTAAATATGAGCACAACAAAAGTGTCCAGCAGATGGCAGACAAGATACTTCTTAAAGGGCTGTAGTTTTGAAATGGACTTTATGTTTTGAGGAATGTCCTGATGCATCTCAGTAATCCAGGTAAAAAATCCAAAAGAAAAAAGTTGAATAGGTCCTCTGGACGGGTTCTTCTCAAATGAAACGTTTCGTCTCTCCTCCAAGAGACTTCTTCASTCTGAGAGTTTCAGGCAAAATTCAGGCTTTTAAGCACTGCTTCCATGTGACTGATACTCACATCACATGGCTATCGTTGACACCTAATTAGCACCTGTTGTTAACAGGGGGTGGAGTGATACTGGCAATAGCCGCACTGTAGGAGGGGGACAACTGAAAACGGAGGCCTCCACCTCTGTTTAATGATGGACGGTCTTTCTTCACAAAATGGCTTCTTTTACTCCTCTCTCAAACCAAATTGCTCTGTTTGTGCCCCCGGCACATACAGAGCAATGTTGTATATGCTGTTAAGTGCCAGGAGGACTGCGACCAGTTATACATCGGGGAAACAAAGCAGCCACTGTTCAAAAGAATATCCCAACACAGACGAGCTATGTCTAATGGCCAGAACTCTGCAGTTTTCACTCATTTACAGGCCAGCGGTCACTCTTTCAGAGATGAGGATGTT